TCCAGACTGGGCAACAAGAGCAAAACTCCATCAAAAAAAAAAAAAAAAAAAAAAAAAAAAAAAAAAAAAAGCACTCTGAAGAATGGGGCCCTGACTTAATTGATCAATAGGACCAGCCTGAGGGACAGATTAATATGGTGCGAGATCTATGACTGTTAATTCCGGGGTGGAAAATAGCAACTGTTTTCTCTGTGATTCTCATGTTCCAGTATTCAGAAACTCTGGCTTGCTGGAGTTTCTATAAATAAAACCCTAAAAAAAGACATTTCAAGTACCACAACTTTCATTTTTATTATTAATATTATTGTTTACACTGGGCCAATTATTTTTAAATGATTTAAAAAATCTTAACCTTTTTGACACTAATTCCTATTATTTTAAGTATATACCTCTGTGGTTCAACTGATCCAACTGCACAGTCAAAACAGGAATGCTGACAGGCTTCTTTTAACTGTGCTGATATGCTTCACACATAACAAGTTGTCCCACGTGTGAGAGTAGCACTTACTACCTCAGCACTTTCATTTGCTGTTTGGAGACCAATAGAACCTGATTTCCAACTGCCTTAATCAATAGTATCCTAATGTAAGTGTAGGTGGACATTAACAAAAAGAGTCTAATTACGCCCCCCAACCCTCTTTCAACCAAGACAGATCTGAATTCTAAGAAAAGTAACTGAGTCATTCTTCTCATAAGGGCTAGTCTGGTCAACAGATGTAATTTTCTCTTCTAAGCCATTAGCCACCTCCAAAATCCGTTCACAACTTACCTCTGTTATGGTAGATTTGCAAACCTCTCTGGCCACAGATTCAAATTTGGGATCTGTAGTTAGGTTCAGCTTATAATTCCACAACAACTAGATAAGAGAGGAAAAACAAAACAAAACAAAACTCCAGTTAGAATAATATGAAATTTATTATCATTATTACTTGAAATGACAAAAGCCAATTATACAGAACCAGACAAAGCATATTCATGTCAGATAACAAAGTAGGATAAAATGCCATTACGTTCCTAGATTAAAGGGGAGAAAAGCAAAATAAAACAATGACTATTCAGATATACTTTTGTCATTTTTACTAAAGGACAATTTTTAAAGCTATAAATTAGAAATCATTAAACAGTCAAGAAAACAATGAAAAATTAAGATCCTTGGTAAGGTTTTCAAGGAAAATATAAATAGGCTGTATAAACTTAATTCTGCTTAAACCAAAAGTCTAATCCAGAAGCACAGATTTGGTGGATTTAGTCTCAGATCTCACAAGCATCACTACTTTCATAGATGTTTCCCCAGAGGAGTCGAACAGGCTCTAGTTTCTAGGCATATTTGTCTTCATTTATTCATTTGAAAAATTTGTTTGTAGAGATGGGATCTCAGTATATTGCAGGCTGGTCTTGAACTCCTGGCCTCAAGCAATTCCCCTACCTTGGCCTCCCAAAGTGCTGGGATTACAAGCATGAGCCAGTGTGCCCAGCCTCTTCATTCCCTTAAAACATTTGACACATACACCATAAGGTCCACTTTATACCACTGTTTTAACACATCTTACACTAGAAAATATCTAAAGTCATTATTACTCACAGGGAACGACTAAATATTACTAAATATTACTTCAAAGCTTCCATAAAAAGATTTTGATAAGTGATCCAATTTCTGAAAAGTAGCAAAAATTAGCCTTTAAATTGTTCAGTTGGAGAGACAAAGCAGAGACTCTATAGAGGAGAAACCCTGTCTCTACTAAAAATACAAAAATTAGCCAGATGTGGTGATGCACACCTGTAACCCCAGCTACTCCAGAGGCTGAGGCAGGAGAATCACTTGAACCCAGGAGGCAGAGGTTGTAGTTAGTAAGCTGAGATCATGCCACTGTGCTCCAGCCTGGGCAACGGAGTGACGCTCCACCTCAACAACAACAACAACAACAACAACAACAACAACAGTTTTTTAGAAAAAAGAAGTGGAATCTGGCCACCATGTATCATAAAGCTCCAAGAGCACTGGGAATTTTGCCTTGCTTACCACAGTATCCTCAGTGTCTAGAAGAGTGTATGGAACACAGCAGGCACTAATTAATATTTGCTGAATAAACTTACAACATGATGAATGACAAATTCAACCAATGCAACACATGAGGCCAAACCGAAAAATGTAGATGATGCAGAACATGAAGACATATGTATATACATATTTTTGGAGGGGGGTATATTCCTCTCTGACTGGTATATACTCCAAGATGAAAAAAATCAGTCAATCAGTCACTGATTCAGTTAAATATCTGCTTGGCAAAGCATTTCGTGGATAAGCTATTAGATGAAACAAGCAAACGTTTACTGAGTACGTACTTTGCTCCAGACAGAGTTAAGAACTGGGGGATAACACAAGGAGGACAAAGACTACCCAGCGGTAGCCACAGTCAATGGCAGGGAGTATGATCAAGTAACTCGCTAATGGCATCACTGGGTACCATAGCAGTACAGGGGAGGAGTACCCCAAACTGGGGAGGGATGGGAAGTTTGGTCAGGGAAGAGTTATCATAGAAAACGCTATCTCCCAGCACTTTGGGAGGCCAAGGCGCGTGGATCACGAGGTCAAGAGATCAAGACCATCCTGGTCAACATGGTGAAACGCTGTCTCTACTAAAAATACAAAAATTAGCTGGGCATGGGCGGCCCGTGCCTGTAATCCCAGCTACTTGGGAGGCTGAGGCAGGAGAACTGCTTGAACCCAGGAGGCAGAGGTTGCGGTGAGCCAAGATCGCACCATTATACTCCAGCCTGGGTAACAAGAGTGAAACTCCGTCTCAAAAAAAAAAAAAAGCAAATGCTATCTAAGATGAAACCTAAAAGCTAGCAGCAGTTAGCCAGATTCAAGGGTACACTGAAGACTATTTTAGGCAATTGATACTGCATGCATGGAAGCAAGGGGTGGAAGGAACCAGAAGTCCAATGGAGGACTGACCCAGGAGCCTCGGGCCAAGCCAGATCAGAAAGCCTTTGTAAGCCACGACTGAACATTAACCTAAGAATAATGGGAAGTCCATGACGAGAAACTAGGGGTGACACGACCAAATCTACCTTTTAGAAGGAAGACAGAGACATATAAAAAGTGGATTAGGAATGACATGAAAGCAAGCAGTGAGGAAGATCTGAAGAAAATAGGAAGGATAAACAAGATTTCTTCTCCTCCCTCCTCAAAAACAAAAACATAAGTAAAAGCTCTGATCTCTCAGCTACCATCAGTAAGTGAGTTTTTAGGCCGGGTGCAGTGGCTCATGCCTGTAATCCCAGCACTTTGGGAGGCCAAGGCTGGGGAATCACCTGAGTCAGGAGATCGAGACTGGCATGGCTAACATGGTGAAACCCCGTCTCTACTAAAGATACAAAAATTAGCCAGGTGTGGTGGTGCACACCTGTAATCCCAGCTACTCCGGAGGCTGAGGCAGGAGAATCACTTGAACCCAGGAAGCGGAGGTTGTAGTCAGTAAGCCGAGATCATGCCACACTGTACTCCAGCCTGGGCAACAGAGTGATGCTCCACCTCAAAAAACAACAACAACAACAACAATAGGTTTTTAGAAAAAAGAAGTGGAATCTGGTCACCATGTATCATAAAGCTCCAAGAGCACTGGGAATTTTGCCTTGCTTACCACAGTATCCTGAGTGTCTAGAAGAGTGAATGGAACACAGCAGACACTAATTAATATTTGCTGAATAAACTTACACCATGATGAATGCCAAATTTAACCAATGAAACACATAAGGCCAAACTGAAAGTAGATACGAAAAAAGCTTAGTTCTAACTGAAGGAATCACGGGCCACCTGGCTCCTTAGAAGCACAAATGGACCCAGGGATTCAAAGGACAATGTTAGAATCTAGGCAAATACATATCACTGTTTTTATGAATTAAGTCACTATTGCTTGGTCATTACATTTTGTATTCTAAAATTAAAACATCACTTTATTCTATGTGTACATCAAACCAATGAATGAATGTCTCCTTACTGACCCCCTTGCAGCTGATATGCCATTTCTTTCTTCCTTTTTTTTTTTTCTTTTTTTTAAATTGAGACTGAGTCTCACTCCGTTGCCCAAGCTGGAGCACAGTGGCACAGTCTCGGCTCACTGCAACCTCTGCCTCCCAGGCTCAAGCACTTCTGCCTCAGCCTCCCTAGTAGCTGGGATTACAGGTGTGTGCCACCACACCCAGCTAATTTTTATATTTTTAATAGAGACGGGGTTTTGCCATGTTGGCCAGGGTGGTCATGAACTCCTGAACTCAGGTGGTCTACCTGCCTTGGCCTCCCAAAGTGCTGGGGTTATAGGCGTGAGCCATCATGCTCAGCCATTTCTTTACAAAAGCCAGAAAAATTATAAATACAAGCTGCAGAATATTTCCTTACTTTATCTAATGCAAAGTCAGATGTCCCACAATTGAGCAAGAAATAGATTTTCTTCCAAAAGACGTTCAGATAACCATTTAGATCTTTTGAATGTCTTTAACTTTTATTTGAAAACTTACTTGTTCTGCCAGGTATACATTTCCTTATAAACAAGTCTCTTCCCAAATAACCATGACAGTATTGTCAAATGCTAAACATTTTACTGTATCTCATCTTTTTCCATTTCAAATTGAGATATAATTCATATACCATAAAATTTACCTTTTAAGTGTACCATTCAGTTTTTTTTTTCTTAGTATATTCACAACGTTGTACAACTCCCACTACGGCCTAATTCTAGAACATTCTCCTTACCCCAAACAGAAACCCATATCCATTCTGTTACTCCTTATCCTCTCTATCCTCATCTTCTGGCAACTGTTAATCTACTTTCTACTCTTTTATTTTACTTTATTTCAGAAGGAGTCTCGTTCTGTCACCCAGGTTGGAGTGCAGTGGCAAGATCTCGACTCATTCCAGCCTCCACCTCCGGGTTTAAGTGATTCTCCTGCCTAAGCCTCCCAAGTAGCTGAGATTGCAGGTGCCCGCTACCATGCCTGGTTAATGGTTATTTATTTATTTATTTGAGACCGAGTTTTGCTCTCGTTGCCCAGGCTGGAGTGCAATGGCACGATCTTGGCTCACTGAAACCTCTGCCTCCCAGGTTCAAGTGATTGTCCTGCCTCAGCCTCCTGAGTAGCTGGAATTACAGTTGCACACCACCATGCCCAGCTAATTTTTGTATTTTTAGTAGAGACAGGGTTTCACCATATTGGTCAGGCTGGTCTTGAACTTCTGACCTCGTGATCTGCCTGCCTCAGCCTCCCAAAGTGCTGGGATTCGTCTTTTGTTTTTAATATGAGCCATTAATGCATTATTATTCTCTCAGGAATATAATTAAAAAGGGAATCTAACATAGGCTGCCAAAAACGCATTTTCCCTTAGAAAACAGGTAAGCACACATTACACTTGATTACTCAGAGCTGACTACTTATACCGTATTTGGTAGTGTCCTTTCCCCTGAGTGGTTATAATCAAACAAGAAAAATAATTGCAGTGGGACAATAAGAACTATTGGTTAGTATGATGTACTTTCCCTTCAATTTCCTTAAATCAGGCCGGGTGGTAGCTCACGCCTGTAAACTCAACACTTTGAGGGGCTGAGGTGGGCAGATCACTTGAGGTCAGGAGTTCAAGACCAGCCTGGCCAACATGGTAAATAAAACCCTATCTCTACTAAAAATACAAAAATTAGCTGGGTGTGGTGGCGCACACCTGTAATTCCAGCTACTAGGGAGGCTGAGGCAGAAGTGCTGAGCCTGGGAGGCAGAGGCTGCAGTGAGCCGAGACTGCGTCGCTGCACTCCAGCCTGGGCGACAGAGTGAGACTCCGTCTCAAAAAAAAAAAAAAAAAAA